AATGTATTGTATGCGTCAAATACATCTCTCTTCGACGGCGTGGGCTGCACGGTAGTGCCTGCCCACTTTTCACAGGTAGCTGTTTCATTTTTTTGCTGCAATTCGCATTGCTTTATTTTGCCACTTAAGGGAATAGTTGTAAACGTTTATTCGCCTCATTTTATCCGCTTGTGACTATAGACCAGTTTGATGGCAGATTGGAGGAAATGAATGATTTTTTAAAAGGTGATATTTGGAAGTGAATTTAGAGAGTATTGCGGTGGAAGGCTGTAGGATTTTGTGGCCCATGTACCGGTAGCATTCATACATGTGGCGTGGCCGCGTGCAGTCTGACTGCACGGGCAAAGAAATAGTCAAGGATAAATGGTGAATAACACTGGTCTTAAGGTTTTTGCAGTGAGGAATAATTCAACCGGAAATGGATAACTGTTTAATGAGGATTGTCAACTATTTGTCTTTCTGTTGAACCAGGATGTCTCTGTAGGTTATGGACTATATTTTGTGCATTTAGGGACATTTGAGTGGATGTGATGAATGATAGGGTGTGTGAGTTTTGGTCAGCCAGCGGCCGGGGCTGGCCTGGAGACTTGTGTTTTTTTCTTGATGCCCAATATAGACTCTGTGCCTACATAAACACACTGTAGTCATACTTTATGTTTTACCGAGTATATTTGGATGTAGCTTAAAACTAATGAGTGCCTTCCCAATTTCCACAGGCCGGATCTCTGACCCCAAACAATATATCAAGAGAAGCACAATTTTAGCAGTGAAAGCTGTGAGTTTCTGGGAGTTCCACCAACCCACCAATCCCCCCATACTCTCCGTCCCATCCCGAACCTGTGAGCCACCTTCTGAGAGCCCTGGATTCTCAGTGGCCCACCAGGCAGGAATTCCACCCCCTGTTGGAAGACCGCCAACGCCCCCCACACTTCATTTAATTTTCCAACTGTAGCCGAAAGGCTAGAACAACCAATACTCTACTTTGGTAAGAATATATACTACAGTCCAGGATCTTTAGGAATGGGCTTCCTCCTTGCCGTGACAACTTCAGAACACAAACATGCTCTTCATCACTCGCCGTCGCACTCATCGTCACAAGTCCAGTACCATCCCATTTTTAATTTTGCTTTTAAATTATCATAGTTGCTAACCAAGCCTCCTCGGGTATATTGTCTTTGTATGCCGAAGCTATGCTCAACTTGCCAAAATGTTTTTCGTGGTTCCTGTAGGCCTGCCTAAGATTTTGTTCTGCGGACTTTTTTGTGTGAGATTTACTTGTCTTGGCTTCTGTATTTTTTGTCTTTTAATTGGGTCATTGTGGATTTGTTTTTTAACCACCATAGTTTGTATCTAATAAATAATCATTTTTTTCAGTTCGTTGTAAAATGGACTGTAATTCAGCCGTTTTGGCTGCGAAAGTCTATTCTCTAAATAAACCGAACCATTAAAACCCTGGGACGCGGTATGATTTTTTTACGTGGTGGCGGGAGCGGCCTCGCCAGAAGAGACCGTATCATTTCTCAGGATTGCAGAGCCCTGAGTTCATCCTGAAGGTATATAAATGTTTCGGTGGTTGTCCCCTAGCCTCTACAGCTTTTAAAAACCACCAAAAGTACATCACAGTACGGTGGGAGGCCGTTTTCCAAGGCTCTCCCGATATTTGGGGGTGGGTCGCCACGCGCCAGCCAAGCCGCACTACCACCACAACATCCCCCACCAAAATAACACTTCGAAGGCAGCCGAAACAGGCATCTGTCAAGTTCCAGACAGCTGTCACTGATAATAAACGTTCCACTGCCTGGCCAAGGAACTGTTTTTGTAAATAATCCATTATATTGTATACATGGGGCCACTTAACACACAGTCTTATGGGAGTTGGCTGGAGGCTGGCTGGATTTTTATATTTTTTTTTCTGGCTAGGGGAGGCCCTGGCTTTTAAGTGACTAAACCAGGTTTTTCAGCATGAACAGCGGTAGGATATGATAAATAGTATTTGTATTTTGACAAACAGTTTTTTTTACACCTTAATTAGCTCAAGTGGCCTCTACAAAAGCCATTCCCTCCACGCAGGGATTAAACAAATAGACCAAACCATTACCATTTCCATCTAGAATGCTGCTGTTTTCAAGAAAACAGGTCATTTTCTTCTTCGGTCGACCATCGTTTAACAGTTCGTTTCGTTTCACACACCATATCCGTTTAAGAGGCGCCAATTTTGTTTCTGCTGTGTGTGCAGATGTGGGAGTCTGAATGAATGGATAAAACTTAAAGCTGCTAAACACACCGGCAGAAATTCACCGAACGTATTGTAAAATAAAAGACACTAAGTGTCTAGTATGAAATAGAAAATAAATAGGATCAGTTTGAAGTTAAATTTTATTTAAGGAATAGATATTTCTTAACCCGAAAAAGGTTAACTCAAAATCACTCCCAAAACATAATGATATGATCCAAACATGTCCGTTTCCAAGCTGCATAGCGAGAGAACTTTCGTCAACGAGAAGTACGACTTCCACATTTTAAATCTCTCTCGTTTCAACATCATTATAATTTCCTCTTTGCCCATGTTCATAAGTTTGTCAACTAAGAATGGAGTTTTTAGTCTTTCAATGCAGTGAAAGTGTGGTCATTAAGCACGCACAGGCACATTTACAACGTTAAGGCACCTTTCTATACGCGCGTAAAACCTGCGCCAAGCGTTGCTTATCTGCCCAAATCACTCGATTTTGATGGCCGAACGCAACGCACACGTGTGGTATGTTGACGGAGTCGATTTTTGTGCCCGTGAAAGTGAAACGCATGAATGCATCGTGTACGGCATTTCAGTTCAGTTGATTGTCGACTGCATAAGACATGAAGTTGACGTCAATCTGGCATTGGAAACAATTAGAACAGCTTCAAGGTGTGGTGAACCAGATTTCAGTTCCGTTAACTGAACAGTATTCCTTTTGAATGATTTTATTGATCAAAAGAGGGCGCTCACTCACTTTCACACTGACTCGTAATTATTCATTATTATTCAATATTCAAGGTTGCGATAGGGTATTACTTTCCGCATCATTGAATTAAAGAATCAGTTTGTTTTGATAGAAACCAAACAAAGTTTATTCAGATTCAGAATTAATAATTCCACCTATACTGTTAAAACAATCTTCAATAACTAATCTTTTACTCAAGGTGTTTCTCAACGACACATCCAGGATAACATCATTACCAACTATAACCAATTTTATTCCTGTATTCGAATTTTTGGCCGAATCCACCTCGAGTGGAAGCACCCCTTCAGTTGAAAAGAGCCGTATCACTCGAGTGTTCATTTTATTGGTAGCGATGCGACCGTAACGCGTGAATTTGGAATTAGATTTTTTTTAGAAAATCAAATCCTGATTCTCACAAGGGATAAAGGGAATTTTGATACCTTTAATGATGCGACTGTAGCGACCATTTCAATCACCCAAGAATTTGACAGCTTTGATATTTGCCTTCTTGGAAACTACATATTACATATTCTTATGAATATAAGAATATATATTCTTATGAAAACTGATGTTTTGCAGTGTGCCATGCTGCACCAAAGGTAGCACCAATACCAACATAGTAGCATGTTGAAAATTCTTTTTCATCAAGATGTCACTGTGTAGCCTCAATCTTGTACTGGTGGCATATGCCTAGTCTAGATGCGAAAATGGTGGCAGGAAGTCAAATATCGTGCGGTTCGTCTCAAGAAGTCATGATAGAAGCACGCTTCGCATTGAAACATTGGGCCTGTTTGTTTCACACGGATCTGGATCTCGATCAGTGATCCCAAAGTTGGTATTCTATCGGGCGGATTCCGGTGTCAGTGAACCAACTTCAGATCCCTGGACTGGTCCCTGTCCGTATTACATATTGACGGGTACCTAGCTGCAGTTTAACGTGTGCGATTAGCCCTGTCAGTTTGGATACTGAACGTTTTATCAGACCAATAAAAAACCTTCAACATACATTACGTCTCGGCGAGGAGGCATCACAACCTAAGGTACTACCTATCCTTGCTCATCCTCTAAAGGTAATTTCTTTTTCAATGATTGTCATCGATAAATCATTTTATGGCAATTAATTTCAAATAAGTGGTTACTGTGTTACATTTGAAATAAATGAACAATAATTATTTATGGCAAAGTTATTTTTGGTAACCAAGGAGAAAAGCAAAATATTCCATCAGCTCTGCTTGATTTGTGCATTAAGTGGGCATTGTTTCCTCATTTACATAAAACGGGCAGTATTCTGTCGGATTCATCATCAGCTACCGGTTTCAACGTTCGGAGGATCTCTGTTAGACGGCTGGTGACTATGTAGGGGACGGGAACCAGTCTACCAACAAGCTAGCTTGCTTTAGGGGCCCACGGTTGGTTTAGCACCGTGCATAAGCAATTGCTTTTTCTATTTTGAGAGATGAAGTTTACATGCAACCTTTCGCACGTATGACAGTCGAATACATAGCTCTCGGGATAAACCAAGACAAATTTCCCCCTGTAATTTTGGAAGCAGTTACTCTAAAAAGCAGGTACATATCTCTGAAAATTTTGTTGTGTGAGGAAATGAGTGGGTAAGGAGAGTATTGATCCATTCTTCCAGAGTTTTCTCACGTGGCAGTGTCGCGTTGTGGGAATTGGTATTGCTAATTTCCTCATTAACATAAACTCATCAGAAATCATTACCCACTGCCAGTTGCTAAGTCGGAGGACGTCTATAAGACCTTTTCACTTATAAATTTACCCTTGATCCTATGCTTCCAATTGCACCATTGATCAAAGAATGATCAGTCTCTATTTGTATATAAATTTCTAGACGCATGAGGTGCCCTGTGTTGTTGATGCAGGGAATAAGTCAGACATTCAGTGCCACAGAGGTTTTCTCCTGTTTGTCATTATTTTATTTGCTGCTTAATCTGACTTCATTTAAATGGATACCACCTTTGACCGTCTGAGAAATAAAATTCAATAATTAAACAACAGTAATTGAAGCTATCTGCTAATAATTTTCTTTTCATTTGAAAGTACCTATTGCATCAAAAATAAATTACAGTTCTAACAGAAATCAAACCAGTGTTCAGAAACATGTTAACTCCCAATGTAGGGGATTTATGTATGCAAGAAGATTGGAACTGCTTGTTCCAAAGTTTGTAACAACATTATTTGGTTGCCGAGTTCTATAGTTTGCTCCGGATCTGCATAGATGACAGATTGCTGGAGGGAATTTATACAATTTGCTACTGCGAGTATTTAGTGCTGAACACTGGCTTTAAACATGTTATAAATTATAAACTAAAGTCTATCTAACTTTATTTTGATATTGACTTTTGACATTTTATGATTTGACAGCTGAGAGCAATTTGAAATGCCATGAATGTCCCCTTCCCATTTTCATCTGTACCACAATCCTTGTAGTCCCTTCCTTTTTTAGAAACCAAGTTTCCAGAATGCATAAGGATTTGAATATGTGGCCTAGGGAAGGCCACACTTTTTAGCTATATGTAAGACTGTTTGCAGTCTTACTTCACATAACTGTATTTAAATAAATATTAGTTATTTGGCCATTTAAAAAATCCATTTATCCAGCAGTGATGATTTATAAAGCTCTATCAATATGTCGATATGTCGAAATATGTCGATAATGTTATTTCATTCTGTCTAAACGTACCAGGTACAGTCAACCAAATTAATGAAAGTTCAAGAAGAAATTCAGAAGTGTCAAGAGTTTCCAAAACCTTTCAACCCTATAATGGCCGATTTCTAAGGTGCTATGTATGCGAGAAGATTGGGACTGTCGGGTTTAATGCCTGAAAGAACGTCCTTGGTTGCTGAGGTCTGGAGTTTGCTCTCAATATCCGCAGGTGACATACTCGGATTTTCAGCCAAGTGGAGAGCAACAATTCCTGTGATCGTCAATCAGAAATTTTAAGGTCACTCTCAAAATCCACCCCCCAAAGAGTGAGTCATTAGACTACGAAAATGTCATCAGGAGAGGAGGGAAGAAAAGCAAATATTGGAGAAGATATATAATGAAAAATTGATGAAGGCAAAACTGAAGAAACAACAGAGGAAAAAGATTGAATGACTGACTGAAAAATGGAGAGTGCTCAGAAGGCGAGCAAACTTTATTGTGAACATCTAAGCTGACTTGACAAACAAGGTATGATTTGATATTTTCTGTAGTTTCTCACCTGCAACATGTGGACAGGCCATGGAGGTCCCGGATATTGTATTTGTCGCACTGTCAGAACTATACCAAGCACTTTTGATATAACTGCCCGGTGCAAAGATGTCAACACACTGCCCATGGTTTGAAGAGGTAGACCTGTAGTCGTAATCACGTATTGATCCTACAGTGATTGCCTGCCGTGAGCAAAAATAAGCATTTATTTAAATCGGTGATTACGTTATACAGAGTAGCTATTAGCTTGTAAAAATGACCCTCACATTCGGTACAACCATCATTTTTCCCCCTTTATTGTATTGTCTACCGTCATGGCTATATAGTTCATGCAAGACTCCTCGTAACTGTCACTGCACTTGAGTTTGGTGATAACCGTCCTGAAGTTTCCAACTGATCGTGAATTTCTTTCGATCTTTCATTATAAACGCTCTCATTCTGTGGACTACAAAATTAACAATTACAACTTTCTCCACAGCTTCAGGAATATTTGTGGCGTGGAATTGGAGTGCATGTTGGAGGCGGCCGATACTTCTCAGCCGTTGTGGTGTATGTTGATTTATTGAATGTACCTCAAAGGTGCGACCTGGAGAAGACCAGCAAGCATTGATATTTCTGTCTCCAGCAGCAACAACGACTGGAATTCCTTCCTGATACACACTCTTCACTGCGTCATCTATAGCTGGAGAAATGGATCCTCCAATAGACATAGACACAACGGCCGGTTTGTTGGCATTGGCAATGACATAATCCAATCCTGAACGGAAGGAGGAAAAAAAATCAAAACACTGCAAGCTATTTGGATTTTGTCTTAGCCCATCCATTTATTTACTTACAATTTGGAGTAAATGACATTCCGTTACTAAACACAGACCAATGTGTTCTTCTTGTTGTTTTTTGCGGGAAAGAGTTTCAGAAATGAATCACTATGATCAAAGCAATCAATTAAACTTCCCAGATGCAGTGATGTGGTGGCTTAATCGATTCTGCATTGAGGATAAAACTGGCTGTAAACTCCCAAACTGGCCATAAGCCATCAAAGAGGGATTTACTTTAGTTGAAGCTTTTATCATATATAAAACCAGATAGGCGATCATTGCCTTTAATTACCTCCAATAACATTCGATTCGGAACCACTGCCAGAACATGCCAGGACCCTTGCCCCCTTGATTGTTGCTTGTTTGGCTACTCCATAGGTTTGACCTGCTGCAATACCAGCACAGTGGGTGCCATGACCGTTGCAGTCTTCGCTCTAATGAAAGATGAAAGGATAACACATTAATGCCTTATTTTACCAATATATACATGTAATGATGTCTAAATGCACGGTGCTCAAAATTGTCAATGAGTTAAAAGGTAAGGCTCGTACCTGAGGAAGTCATTTAGCTTTGCATGTTTCATTTCCTGTTGTTCGCACTTTTTCAATTATTTTTCAGCTAGTGCTAATGACACATAAGACAAAGGAGTAAATTTACAGCTTCTTGTTTAAAGATTTCTTTAGAAGAAGTGAAACTCACAGGACCACCAATGGCATCAAACGATAGCGAGGCTCTACCTCCAAATTCATTGTGCGTAGTTCGGATACCAGTGTCCACGACCCAGATTTCAACTCCTTTTCCGCCTTCTGAATAAACAAACCCCGAAAGGCTAAGTAAAAATTTCTGCTGATCACTATGCATGGCGATACGTTTTACTCTATAGCATTTACGGAAATTCAGGTTTTTCAATAACATTAACAATGAATTTAAGAAAATCGATACAACAATTTCTATGTCCACTGCAAATAAGTAACACTGGGTCTAAAAATTTCATACAAACAACCAACCAACATCGTAAATACACAATGGAGCAGTATTCAGCCTAAATACAATCGACAGGGGCGTGATCCCGGATTTTCGAAGAGGGAGGCTTGAACTTAAGCCGAATAAATAGGGCCTCTCAGCTCATTTTAAAGCATCTTATGCTACGTAACGAACGTTATTGTTACTTCTTGTCCAGTCAGAAACAAAGTTTCTTACTGTAAACGGAGTTAGTAGTGAAGCTGTTATCTAGTGGTAAGTTTCTCTGTCCAATCCGGTCTAGTCCCCAGGGTATTTCAGTGGTGTGCACTATACCATCCTCGGACACATACTCGACCTCATCCAGGCTTTGCACCTGATAAAAATGTGACACAAATATCAGACGTGCAAAAGCGCAAGTATTTTCCACAAAGGACGCTTAAGGTAATTGTCACAAAAGAGTTGTGCAAGAAACCAAGCACCTCAATATTCAGGCAGAAAAATGAGTAGCTTTTCCTATTTTGTCTTTCTTGTCGGTACTTCATTGAAATCAAAGTAGGCCCTATCTTCCAATTCAATAACGATCTTCATTTTCATGTGATACCAATATTTCAAAAAGACTCTCATTTCGTTCTATTGAATATTTAATTGATTCTAAATATACTGTAATCAGCCTGAACAATAATAACATATTTTCAAGTAGCAATATTCATCCGATGATTTTCTAAAGAATCAAACAACAAACGTAGACAAATCGTTTCCGTTCTTACATATTGCAGGGCTTCTTCCGACAGTTCTGCAGCCACTCCCTTCAAGGCATGGTGGTAGCGACGGGAGAAATTAGCTCGACCCAAACGCTGCCTTTGCACACGACGCTGTAGGCAATCAGCAGTGATGTCAACATCCAAGTCATCCCTGGGATATAAGGCAGAGCAGATTAACACATTATTTAAAACTTGCTTAGAAATGTTACAATACAATCAACTTTCGTCACTTATTCTACGTAGCGCTGGTTACTTGAATTTGATGATGTAGCTGCCTTTGATGTTCTCGTCAACTTTGTACAGCGGAGCAAGGCCGGCTGCAGCTACACCCACCAACAACAGAAGAACCAAGGTATGCATTATGAGCTGACTTCACAGGTCTATCAAATATGGTGACTGTAGTATTAGGTCCACTGACCTGCTCTTTTATACACAGAATATCATATTTTAATAATTCCTTTGGAACTGCTTTATAGATAAAAGCCCGACTTGTTTCACAATACTTGCGTCACGTATCTACTTTCCTGAAGTACGTTTTATCATAGAAGGAAGTTAAAGTCACTCAAATGAGTGCCAAAATATGATTCCAGATCATTATTAATGCCAATTTGTGTGCGCCTCATTTCGCTTTTACAGAATTAATCTTTATGGAGACACTTGTTCTATGCAAAAAATGAATATGGAAAATATTGGAAACAAAAATGAAAGGAAATGATAAGATTGAAATCCACCTCACTAGTTTTAAGTTAAATAAAGGACATTACTCCGAAACCATAGGCCTAGGCCTTGGTATACAAATGAAAGAACCAATCGGAGACAGCTGTCCGGTGTAGAACCGCCCACTCAAAGAACTCGGAGCTTACCGACATGGTTGCATGCGCGACACTGTACAAACGTGACTGCATGGAGCCACGGAGTAACATTGAAATTACGGTGATCATTCCATTGCATCGATCGTAATACGCACAATGTGAACATATTGTGTCGCTACCCTACGAGCGTCTAGAAAATGGGTGTAAATTTAGTTCTGCCTGTGACTGAATATGTGGCCATTCTCGATAAGAGATGCATCCAGGGGGACTGACTGACTGACCCAACCCCAAGGGGATTTTTGGTTCATTCCTGCAAAAGATAATACAATATACACCTTCGTCTAAACTTCAGACCCAGATGTGTGCGTGTGTGTGTGTGGGGGGGGGGTTGAGCTTCAAGAGCTATTTCAGGTGAGAAATTCCGGGCGCTGATCTTCTGGTTAACGATGTACGCTTTAGAGGAGAGTAACTTAGTGGGTGAAAATTACCATTAACGCTGCAAAATGTGGCTTAAAAATAACATGGCAAAATCGATCAAGTGTTATCTGTCCGAAACGGTACAATTTGATCTTATAAAGAGACCAAACCCGTCAAAGAAACCTCCAACACGATTTCGCAGTGTATTCGTTTAGGAGTCGTTACAGATTTTCAAATTATCAATTTCGTAGTGTTTAGCATTAAGTTTGTGACAGGACGCATCTCTAGCTTCTCGCTAAAAAACTACGTACTAACTACAAAGCCTACGATTTCCTTGAAGTCTTAATTATAATCAACTATACAGAATTGTACACAAGACAAGCTGACGTACATGTACATGTATATAGGCGATAGCGAAGCACGTTGAGCGCCGACAATATTGGTCCGCTGTTTATTAATTCCATCTATCTGGTAAAAACACCGTTATGTATCTTATACCATTGTGAGGGTTTGCAGGAACCGGGCCCCGCAAATCAACCAAAATCATACTACGCTGGTAAGTGATAGCGCCACCAAGCGATGACAGGCCTTCCCCAATGTGGTATCTCCCTTGTCGCTGGCCTGCGCACCACTTGGTCCTTCCAGGTAAAATTTCTCCTTTTTTATCTAGTGGTTATGCATAAATCATAAACAATCTATTGTATTAGGGACTGTAGCATCGTAAAACGGGGCTGGGAAATGGGGTAAAGCAATAAAACTCATTATAAATTGGAACTTTCTTTCCGTCGTCCGTTAGTAATATTTCTTGATAGAGGCCCTCTTGCGTTCACATTGTGAAAGTACGTGTTTCGGCCAAGCGCTTTGAACAACCTCGGTCCATACTCCCAGCCATGCAGGTTTCTATGGTGCACTATTTACGACAAACATTTTTCTCTCTCTTGCCTCCTTCCAGGCAACGCAACCAGACGGCACGACGGCTCCCTTGAGTCGTGCCGTCGGGTCGAACCGTCGCCTTCTTGCCATTACTTTTGTACACACACGAAGTGTCGCGCCATACTTACAAATTCGTCCCTGTCCTGCTCTAGGCAAAGACATTACCAGAGTAAGTCTATTGAACCACACATGCATACGTTGCTGGACAGTGGGTGGACTGAGCCACATGAATTCCGTTCAGGACCTGATTTAGTCGAGGGGAAGGAAAGACTGTGCACGTGAACTCTAAACATCATATAGCCCAACACATCTTCGCCATCAAGCTCTTTTACTGCAAGCCTTTCTACTGCAAACTCTACAGCTACTTGCAAAGTCAAGACAAGCCAAGGCGTCCCCAGCTTCAGCAATAGATGTTTTCTGTTAAATAGAATCCCTGCTTTTTCCTCATTATTAAAAGATGCTTTCTCTAACGTGAGGGTATTTGTATTTTCGTAAACCGTGCAAAAACGGTTCACTATATTAGCCGGAAACGAATTAATTCTCACTGGTTAGCTGATAATAAAAGGCGTAAACTAGTAAACAAATAAATAATGTAAGCAGGTGTCATGATTCTCACATTATGTCCGCTACAGTATTTCTATTCTAAATCGATTCTAAGACACAATACATCAATAATTATAACTCGCTTGTTAATGTAAGATGCCGATCTGAGGAGAAATTAGGTGTGTGGCCAAGCAGAGTTGAAAAAAAGACACGGCCACAATGAAAATAGCGTCTGCATAATGTTTTATTCAGAAACATGGACTAATATCATTGAAAGTGTGGTGCTGATGAAGGTAACGAGGAAGACTGACCTGAAGGAAGACTAAGACGGAATATTCTGAGGGTATTATAGAGCAGGCTACGTGGTAACTTCCTAAACCAGTGGTCAAACTTGCAGTCATACAATTGTAGACAAATTGTCTGGGGAATTGGGAGTACTACTTAGAAATTACCGGGATGGACCACGGAGAAATGCCGGTATCTATAAGATTACAAATCTACCTTAAATGGGAACTGCATCGACGGTATTAAAGAGAAATCATTGGCTGGGTTTAAAGAGTGACGAATTCCGGGCTTCCACTTATTGTGAGAGAGCAGTTCCTACATATGCCGATTTTATTTTTGCTTTTTTTTCTTTCTCTTAATAAAATATGACAGAAATTAATCCTAATCGAGGAATGGATGAGATAAAAACAAGAACAAATCAACACCAAAGAGTAAGTAGCATGTGCTTTGCAAGCACGGGGGACAGAAATGAAAGAAAACGGTGAAGGCGCCCTCTATAAACACCACGAAGCAAAGGGCGACAGCATACGACGCGTCGCATCGTGCGTCGTGTCGTGCGTCGCGTCGTGCTTCAGGCGACGTAATAGGCGACGCGATGCACGACACGACGTACGACGCGACGCACGACGGTACGACGCGACGGGCGACGGAAGGGGCGACGTTTAGGCCGGGAAAAATGCCACATGGAAAGGACCTAAGGCAGCACGACGCGACGGCACGACGCGACGCATCTTGTGTGTACAAACGCAATGACAAGAAGGCGACGGTACGACCCGACGGCACGACGTAAGGGAACCGTCGTGCCGTCGCTTCGTGTAGTTGCGTCGCCTGGAGGGAGGCTAGGGAGAGAGAGAAATGTTTGTCGTAAATAATACACCATAGATAGGAACACAAAATCCCAGAATTTAAATGAATTGGATTCAATCTCTGAAGCAATTGGTTTTGGGGAGAAATCCCTTGTTACAGTGGGTAAATGATCCACAGTCTTTATTTTCACTGTAAACATTTGATTTATCACACTGCATAATGACAATTTGAATTAATTCTTTGTCATAACGGTTTGGTTGGACATTCTGAAATTTTTGTGATGAAATTGAGATTTGCGTTAAGTTGGGGGATGTGCCCTCACACCTCGACAACACATTCTCACTGATGAAATGCTTTTAAACTCAGGTACAGGTACAATAGGGTCTCCTCCGGAAATAGTTTTTTCACTCTTTTACTGAACTTGTTTTTTTCTCTCCTTTTCTGATGATGTTTGTAATTGTATAATTGATTCCCCAATGTACTGTCTCCCATGCCGCTGGCCTGCGCACCACTTGGTCCTTCCAGCTTATGAATAAATGGAGTGACTCGAACCATGGTGTTGGTGGTGGTGTTATTTTTGCACCGTCACCCTTAGTGGCGCTCTGCTACACCAGTATACCATGTACATGTATGTAGGCGTTAGCGAAGCACGTTGAGCGCCGCCCAATATTGGTCCGCTGTTTATTAATTCCATCTATCTGGTAAAAACGCCGTTATATGTCTTATACCAGTATACATCTTTAAAAGTTTAAACTGTCTCAGTACAAACATTGGTACGGCACTGACAATTACAATAATACTCATTCGTGTGAAATACGATCACACCCAAAAATTATTATTTGGCATGTTGTGAGATCATTTATACAGCTCAGATCAACTAAAGAGTGAGAACTAGTGTTATCGGGACTTGCACTAGAATACACGTGTGGTGCCCAACTTTTAGCATTTCATGGTTACATGGTAACAAACATTACGACATTTCAGAAATTGCATTCGTATATACATTCATGGCAACAAACAACGACCGGCTTATACAGACCTATGGATAAGAGTGTGTCTTGTGAAACATATTTACTAACTCCAAGCTAAATCAACTGAAGCTTGAATAAATAAATCCGGTAAGAGTCGCATTCGCAACATACACTGGTTGTCAACTTCTTTCGTCTCTTGGCTACATGAAAATTACAAACACTACGACTGTTTATAAATACGTGATACGTTTCTCTGTCATCAAAACGCTAAAAGCTTCTTGTTTGCAAACAAACAAAAATACTTTTCTTGCGTGCTCCTTGAATATGTACTCATAAGTATATAAAATGACGAACAATTGCAGTCGGGAAAACAGATCCAAGTACAAGCATTACTGGCTAGCGCTACTCGCTTTACGTCTCTTCTTACGTCTATATATGCGTTTACATACTTGCGTAAATCGCCTAGTAATTTCAAACGTCTCATTTATGATGTAATGAGAAGTGATAATAATACTACAGCTTATCTGTCTGTTTCCAACAGAGCAGATGGCTTTTCGCCTTTTGAAATATGACCGATTAATCTACAGCATAGACCTTATGGTGGAGTGA